CAATGATATAAACATATAAACAATAAAATCCAGTGAATAACATATTATACGCCACCTTGTCTACCTGACATATGGTGTAAAGTGACTACGTGGTAGTCGGTGACGCCTTCTCAGCATTGGACAATGATTCAGCTTCTGCTCGGCATTTGGAAATTGTAGGGAAGTTCAGTCCAGTTTCCAGATGACGTCACTCCTCGAGGCGTGTGACTGTAATTTTGACAGGCAGGTTTCAAAATACATGCAGACATTCCTTTTTTGCGGTACAAGAACTTCTGTTTTGACAACGCTGTCAAAGTATGAGCTCTTTGCCGTCCAAAGCTTTCGGCAATCTCGCAATGTTTTGTCATGCCACCCACAGCCTTAACGGCACTTCATCGGCTAGAAATATGGATGGATGACCCAAGTGAGCTGTATTTTGCCAAGCGTGCTTCCAATCATAACAGCAATACTGCACAATCAAAAGTCCATTACGGGTTCAAAGGCCTTCAACTGTATCTTACTCACAATCATAAAACAAGAATCAGAGTGTGTCTCAAACACCTCCACCGGCCTCGACATGCCACTGTAAAACATGAGTTTCGTTTTGACTTTCCGCCTAATTTGACCACAGTTCTCGTAATTAGAGTCATTAACACCCAAGCACCAGCACGGCGTTTTCATTAGCAAGAGCTCTGAAAAATATTTTAATTTGCTGTATTCATTCAGCTGACGATACATTTTATTCATTGATTGACGCTCCAGTTGTGTTGTGTTGTGGGGTCAGATTGTTAAAGGATTTCATTTGTGGAATCATATTTTGGAAAGGGGAAAACATGTTTGAGAGAAACCATGTATGAGCACTGTGTGTGTATATACTGTGTGTGTATATATATATATATATATATATATATATATAAAATATTTCTATTTTTATTTATTTATTTTTTATGTGATCTCTAACCCCGTACCACTAACTTAAGAAAATACACCCTCTTGTGGATGTGGCTGTGTTCACATTTAAACACATGTTTCTGCCGCCTTTTAAAGTGGCTGTAAATAACCCAAAACAAGGTTCAGCAGTTCAAGTTGCCCTCTTCTTGTCATTTTGCACTCGCATCTTCCAGCACAAGCCTTGCGCTGCAAAGAGCTTCCACAGCGTCACAGGGACTTCATTGTTGGTACAAAACTATTTCCAGTGTATGAAATGTCCCACGGCTGAAAGTGAAGCCAGCCATCATCAAGTGGAGAAAATGTGCCACATGAGTGATATTATCAAGAACAGGATGCGTCTCAAAAATGGATGAAAAGGTGAGAAGAAAAGTGGTCAGGAAGGCTGCCAAGAGGCCAACAGCAACATTGGAGGAGCTGCATTTCTGGCAAGATAATGTGACAACAATCTTTCGTCTTCTTTATATGTCTTGGCTATGGGTTCATTTCAAAATAAAACAGTTGATGTCTCAAATACACGTGTGTAAAATATGTTATGGTCTGACTAAGCAGAGGTTAACCCTTTCAGGGACAGCGGTTACTACAGTGGACATCTTATAATGTTATCAGGTTACAGAGTGCATGGAAAGGTTCAACTTTTTGCTAGTGATTCTACAAGGTGCATTTGGTGCAAGTACAACTCATCACTAAAAGAAAATCAAACCTACAGTGAGGTAAGGTGATGGCAGCGTCAAGCTTTGGGGCTGATTTTCATCAGCTGGAACTGAGGCCTTACACAAGCTGGGGAAAATTTCAACAGTTCCATACAGCAGTTAGTGTTAGCACAAAACCTTCAGAAGGTTTCTCCTAGAGAAACAAAATAGCCCATTAGACCAGCTGATATTTATTCTTTCCTGGCCTGGCCCAAGTGCCAATTTTAAAACAAACTGAGCTCAAATATTTGACCAACGCTGCACCTGGCATGTTTCTTGATTTGACTTTTCATATTTTGTTCTTATGAATCAACTCAGAACATTACAATGAATTTACTCGGTGCACTATTTGACTTTTCATATTTTGTTCTTGTGAATCAACTCAAAACATCACAGTGAATTGACTCGGTGCACTATTTTTAAATTGTGTGCCGTGCGTGAAGACACACACGTTTGAGTGTGTCGCATCGATGAGTCAGAGAGAGGAAGTTTTGACATATTGTGTCATTCAGGAGAGTGCGCAAACAAGCTTTTTGGGAAATTTACAGAAAATCTGATCATGGCATCATAGGGAACACGCCTTAAATGGAAATGTTTGAGGCCCACGTGAACGTGAGCACTCTCACCAATTCCTGTTGAGTGGGCTGACACTCAAAACAATTATTATATCGTCCTCCTTTATAGGGTGAGAAATCGGATTTGCTAACATAAAGTTGAAATGGACACTGCACGGGTATTTCTAAAAGCCAGCAGTTATTTCTTCCATCCAATCAACAACAAAAGGTATGAATAAAAATGGATGAAAAAAATAGAGAAGTGTGTGGTTACATCATCTGTAGTCCATTTTTAAAGAAGTTATTTCAGTGAGTGTCAAATATCGATTTGAACTGAAAGTTTTAGGCTAGAACTTAAAAAATGAATAGCATTCTATTCAGATTTTTATATAAACACACAACACATACAGTATATATGTATGTATATATATATATATATATATATATATATATATATATAGAGAGAGAGAGAGAGAGAGAGAGAGAGAGAGAGAGAGAGAGAGAGAGAGAGAGAGAGAGAGAGAGATTGCAGTGTCTTGTGAAACTTAGCATTTTCAACGTGGCAGCTGTCCATTTACCAAACTGGTTTCATAAAAAGCCTCATCTTGCTCATCTGGGTTTTCAAGTAGGGACATAGGAAATACAGCATAAACTGCAAGCGCTTCAGGCCCTAATAGTTTCTGCTTTGATACACATACAAAAGTGCACACAGTCAATTTGAACAACATGGAAGGAGATGGGGACAGGCAAGTGGGTCTTCAGTAAGCACACGCGCTTTCATATAAGCATACCATGAGATAGGAAGTGGAGCGTAATCTGAAATGGACAAATGTAACAATATTTGAAGGTCTGCAGCACAATTGGAAAGCATGATTAAAATCAATTTGATTAACTGTGATACAGTAATCTGTGCTCTCAGGCCTCGAGGCTTCATCCAAGGCCTGTATTCTGCTGCCCTCTTGTGAAGACGGCTACGATATTAGGCACACCCACACGTTTATGAGATCCAATACAAATTTGCTTATAGCAAGATAGGAATGCTTAATTTTGATTGACATTTTCAGACATATATTGATTTAACAATATGGCAATTACTGTATTGTGTTTGTTGTTGCATTTCTTAGACTCTAAAAGTAATCAAAGTTTTCGAAGTACATATGAATCAGATTTTGCTTTCCGTATTTTAGGAATGAGCTCATATGCCCTGCAAATGAATTTATATGAATCTAATGTTTCATGATAACTTCACAATTTCTCAACAAATTTGATCTGGTTTCCGGGCTCAATCCTAACGAAAACTATGTTAGTTGACTTCCGAATCACACACACACACACACACACACACACACACACACACACACACACACACACACACGCACACACACACACATTTTTAAGAAAATGTTGCTTGGGTTGACCCAAAATTTGAGTTACGAGTGAGTTATCACCCTTCGAGTGCAGTTAAAGAAACAGACAGCAATCACCCTATGGTTGTGTAATGCCATCGCATTTATATTAACCTGCGGAAATTGCAAACATTATTTATTGATTTTCCTTTCCTGAGATTCCTCTTTCGTCTACCTTGGTAAAAGTTACTTCATAACCATCGTGGGGATATTCCCGCTTAGTTTGAATGTAGACTCGACGGTTGTATCAGCTGTTTTGCGACTTGTGGGTGAAACTATTAATAATTTGTCGTCTTCCGCGCTTTAAGCAGTTCGACGACGTTTTCCTCAGAAATATTGAACGAGGACTGTTGGCTAGCAAGTGAGTGTCGTGTCAGCACTACCACATACCAGGGTGATTTAAGATAAAGAAAAGTTGCTATGGAAATGCCGCCATCTTGTGGATTTAGTAAGAAAGCTACCTCTATTGACCCAACGACATTTGCCCAGATAAAGTTCGACTAAAAGTTGTCGTGTGGTCATTTCTCGCAAGGTGAAGTCACCATGTGTCTTACTAATGTTAAGATATGATTCCTCTCTGTTAGCTGGATTTGAAAGAAACAATGTAGAATGCTGTTGAAGGTATTTCCTGCTTACTGTGATTACAATCACCTTTGGTACCCCCTCACCCCCACTACTTTTATGACCCCTCCAGAGGACATGTCAACATCAAAAGAGGAACTGTTATCTCAAGTATCTGTGTTGCAGCTATTGAGGGACTGCGCTTTGCTATGAGTACTATTGGTCTCAGTCTCTTTCCTGAACATTTGTTTGCACACTTAAAACAACATATGTGGTGTTAAAGTTTATCTTCTTCCTCCTTGGTTGATTAACGGCCCCCCAAGTGTCTCTTCCGTTGTTCCCCCGCACCTTGGGTCGGTCCCTGATCGCTGTTAAGCCCCCCTGGGAAGAGCTCTTATCTCAGGATGTATGCACAGCAGGGGTTCTGGAACTTGCTATCACACCAAATGGTGGGTCATGGTGGTTTGGTCTCACCCCACCACTCCAAATGTCTTCCAGCCACGCCGGGTCAGATGTCATGTTACTTTCTTTGTTTCCGGGATTTGCATGAGAGGCGTACCTAACCGCCTCTCATTATCATATTGTCTCTATATAATCTCATGAATGTGTTTCTTCTACGCTTCCTGATTCAAATCTGGACCCCTCAGGAGCCCGAATCGATTCGTAAACTGCAGAAAATAAATTAAAACCCTTCGAAGGAACTGTTCATCGCCTCCAGCCTTTATTTGGTTAACCAACATCCTCATCATCCGAAATTCAACGAACACGCGGGAAAGAGGAGGCCGCTCTTCCCCCAACACTACATATACCCAAAAAGATGCAGTTGCTTCCCACCTCTGCTCTTAATTTGAATTTTTCAGGTGAACGATGCCTGGATCAAGTGTGTTGGACTGTTGCTGGGAGCTCAGGCCAATCAAGTCGGTCGTGGGGATGGGAAGGAGGGGTGGGTGGGTGCTTTTAGACAGCGGAGGGTTTGCGAGAAGCATGACGTCACCCGCTGCATCCACGACCCTCGTCTCTACCAAAACAAAGGGGAACCAAAACATACATTTGCATCGCCACATGAAACGTCACTCGACGACAGCCTCGTCTTGCGCACCGATTAAGTCGAGGTCACACAACCTTTTATTTGCTTGGCGTGGGTTGGTGATGGGAAGGGGTCTGTTTCAATAAGCTGGGTCTGTGGAGAGTCACTGAGAGAGAAGGGGTCCGGGAGGGGCATCCTTCCGTCTGTCTGTCCGTGGGTCCGTGTGAATGGCGGATGGGGAAGCCGCGGTGTCTGTGGAGAGTGGGGCGGCCGCTGTGATGGAGCGCTAAGCCCGAAGCAAGAGCTCACACCTCGGCCAGCGTTTTGTGCACGTTGTCACTCCGATCGGACGTCCGCTTCTTCTTAACATGGATCCCGACAAGACGTTGACGTTCTGTCTCGGGCTCAAGGCTGAGGAGGTACACCCACACACGCACACACACACACACACACACGCACACACACACACACACACACACACACACACACACACACGCACGCACTCCCACACGCACACACTGCTGTCAAAGAGCAGGCATGGATTGCTGCAGAGCAACATGCTTCCATGTTGACAAACACTGCAGCCTCTAGTAGCCTGCACTCATGTCTTTATCTCCTGTTTTTTTTTAATTGATTTCCCAATTCTGAATTGTTTATTAAATTATTTATCTCCTATTCGTCATGAAAGTAAACGCTATAAAATTCAAGATTTAAGAGCGTGAAGAAAAATATGGATGCTGTGTTTTTTTTCTCAGCTGCTGCCTTTCATCTGTGTACAGTGTACTGTACGTGTTCACTGCTTTGTTTCCAGCGATGCTTTATACATGACAAATAGTTGTACAAGTGACTAAATTGCTGATTCAGGATGCTGACAGTTCCACATTGTGGATGACCTTCCATGTTGGTGCGCTGATGAAAGCTTCTCACCACTAATCAAGTTGCACCTTGTTGCATGAGTATTTGGATGTTGACATGAAAACATATATAGTTTTGACTTTACGTGCCACCACTATGAATTTGAAGTAAAATAATCAACTTGTGACTGATGTGTAATAGTGTAAAGTATTAAGTTTTACCTGTCATAGGTTTTGCAAAAATACGGCATTTCACATTAAGGAATTAGCCTACAGCGTTTTTTAAAACCGTGTGGACAGTACTTCCAGTTTCAGGGTCCTAAACGCATTTGGATAAAGTGACATAATTGTAACAATCATTAACCATCATCTAATCCTTGGTCAAAAGTCCTTTGGAGTCAATGAAGGCTTTTTGAAGGCAAATGGAATATTCTCCAATGGCCAAGCCGATGCTTTGCACTTCCTGCAGACACACGTGAAGGCAACAAGAACAAACAAGCAACAAGTGAACGAATATGCATGAGAGACACTGTGCATTAATGTCGATAGTCAAAGAATGGTCAATGCCACATTTAAATTTTTGTGAAACCAATTGAAGCTCTCAACCGCATGGTGTCAAAAATCCTAACAATGTCGTAATTTCCCAAATACTTTTGGTAGATCGTGTCGGTTTCTTGTTTGTTCTGATTATCACTTTTGCTCACATAATGTAACATTTGTTTGTGTTCAGTCTACTTTTATGGCAACTAAAAAGCACAAATCTAATTGTTCCGGCCAACTGCCTCAAAAAGGCAGTCCAGTATCATGAAATGCTTTAATGCGGACTCTTTCGACTTCAGTGCATCTCTGTCAGAAGTGAATTCCGCTTTTTTTTATCGCCAAATGTGAAGTTATTTAAGCATAACATTCAATGACTTAAGCATTTTTTTCTGTTGAGGAATGCAAGAAAAATAATTATAACATATTTTTTGAATTTTATAATTAAAATATAACAACAATGTAACAACAGATACTGTTAGGCAGATAGTGGTGGCTTAATACAGTGGTCTGCAACCTTTTGCCCACCAGGTACTCCAGCTTTTTTGTGTACTAGCAGCCATTCGTCGTTGGGAGCTGCTGACGTACATTCCTGATCGAGATGTTTATGCTCTACTACACCCCCCCCCCCCCCCCCCCCCACACACACACACACTCCTCCACCACCACCACCACTCACACACACAGACACACATACACACAATCAATCTCTGCGGCCCGGTACCAAACAGCCTGCAGATCAGTATTGGATCATGGACCACTAGCCTAATAAATGTATTTGTTAGACACTATACGTATTCAGATTCATACTAGATTCATATTAGACGACGATGTGTAGGACACATCATAGTTGTGTGCAATCGTTGTTATCATTGTAAAGTCAGAATGTAAAAAAAAAAAAGTTATTGTTTTGGGTATCATTCGATGTTGTTAGTGTACAATGTTGCTGTGACATTTGGGGCTTGTTGCTTGTTGGATTTTGGCTCATCATCACTTCGTGGGTGGACGAGGTCTTTGTGCGCATTGCATTGTACGCACACTGCAGCAGAGGGCATACATTGTTCCCCCCATACGGACAAAATATCCATCAGGCAGTTAACAAAAGATTGCCAAACCCAACCACGGTGTTTCTGCATTGTGGCCTCTCACTTTCACTCGCAATTTGTCACTTTCCTCACCGTGGTCCTCCACGACATTTACACGGGCATAACTATACGCTCATTTCTGAATTTCTGTACACGCTGAGAAGACAACATTCAGACGAAAAGTATTCTAGATGTTCGTACACTGTGCTGTATTATTTAGTTTGTATTCATTACCTGTGTTGTTCTGCTTTACACACTCAGGGGCTGCTACTGTATTGGAAGGAAAATTGAAACATGAATTTGTATCGGATAAGTGTGATAGTAAATTTGCTGGAAAAGTACATAGAAAGTCAGAGGGGCATCTATGAGGGCAGTAGTACAGAGGTGAGGTGTGTGTAAGTGTGATAGAGGAGTTTGAGGTGGAGGCGGGACTGCGTCAGGGAGCCATTCTGAGCCCCTTACTCTTTGCAATCGTGATGGATATGCTGATAAATTATCTTACACTGGGAGAAACATTTCATGTAGAAAGATGGAGGCATGCGCTAGAGAGGAAATGAATGAAGATTAGCCACAGTAAAACAGATTATGGGTGCATAAATGGGAGGATGAGACGACAGGGAGAAGAGATAGCGAGAGTGGAGTAATTAGGTTCAGGTTAATAGTCTAGACAAAAGGCAAGTTTAAGGAGTAGAAGGAAAGGATACAAGCAGGTTGGAACTGGTGGAGGAAAGCATATCAGGTATGTTATGTGATCAAAGAGTCTCTGTTAGGATGAAGGGGAAGGTCTTTAAGACAGTGGTGAGGCTAGCCATGATGTAATGCATGGCTCAAAGACAGTGGCACTGAAGAGACACCTGGAGGTGGAAGAAATGAACATGTTGAGGTTCTGCTGGGTAGGATTAGAAACAACCTCACCAGTGGGACAGCAAAGGTTAGATGTTTTAGAGACTATAACTGTTTTATGGCATGTCAAAGTAGTGGACATTCACCAATGAGGTGTTTCCCTTAATTGTTGTCTTTTTTTCTTTCACTAGATGACGATGTCCCTGAGATACTTGGATGGGACCACCGAGGCTTCCACGGTGAGCAGCTCGACCTTCACTATTCATTTCAGAGCGCTATGAAAAATCAGGCCTCCGAGCATAACCACAGTGGTCGCCATGGCGACGCACTTATTTGTCTGTACCGCTCGTGCGGTTACCATGTGCGCGGCAGATATCATTGCAGCTCACTCCGGGCTTTCCTGCACTTACGGAGGCACGGTAAAATAATTCCACATTTTATCTAGATTTTTTTTTTAAATAGTTGTTTATTTCACTCCATTTGCTACATATTTCATCTGTCAGACTTCAGCAATTATTCTTTTAAATTTTGAGTTAGGAAAGGGCATTATAGCGGATTAATTGCTTGTTAAGAATTTGGTTGATTGTGTGGAATCTCTTGAGCCAAGCATCCGTCCAGCGATCCATTTTCTTCATCGTTTATCCTCGGGGGAACTTGAGCGAACTGACTTTGGATGAGAGGCGGCGGTACACCCTGAACCGCCTGCCAATCGCAAACAACCATTTCATGCATGCTTTTACACTTACTGACAAGTGAGAGTCGTTAATTAATCAATGGAGGCCAAATGGAGTGTACTTGGCTGCAGAAGTTCTTTTGATTCACTCGAGACTAGTATGGTGTATAAAGAAGGAAAACAAGATGCAATCTATCTATTATTTGCAGCAACTGTCCAAAAATGCCATAAAATGCACTCAATTCTTCCTGGTGATATGAAAAATTATAAACACAAAAATTAGCTTTTTTTTTTTTTTAATGCTCCAGGGAGAAAGTTGAGTAGTAAGGTAATGAAATCAAAGGAGAATTATTATCTGCTTTCGAGAAAAACTGCTTCCCCATAATCATAATGTCAGCTATCAAAGGAAAACAACATAAATGCAACAGCACTGTGCTGGAATAACATTGGCACTTTGGAGATAACATAGTGTGTTGTTTTGTCCACCAGGTGGTGAATCAACATGAGGGTTCTGGTAGTCAGCCTGTAGTCAGTCCCAAGTACTGTCCTGGTGTAAACAACAATCCAGGTTACCTCTGTGAGACAGGACACTGCTGCGGAGAGACGGGCTGCTGTACCTACTATTACGAACTCTGGTGTGAGTCACCGAACCGCCTTTGTCAGTCTGTATTCAACTAGAAAGCAAACATTTGAGAGGAAAAATCTCAAGGTTGGATGTTAAAAACGGTTGATGTTTCCATGTAATCTCTTGAAACAGATTTCTGTGGGCATTCGGTTGTATTTCTCTAGCAACTACTACTTCCTCACATGGACCAAGTAAAGTGACATTGCCATCTAGTGGTGTGGCACGCATATTGCAGAAGGTCCTAAGTTTATAATTCTGTTCCAGTGCCAGCGAAGAATTTGTGTGCGCCATCAAACCTACAACAACACCATGCGAAAAGTCACACCCGGAGTAAATATTTAGGCGAAGAAAAACAAAACAATCAAATTAAAAACAGCAAGTGTCTTTTAGCGCTGGGTGACCACATATTCTTAGCACTAAACTACTCTATGCAGTAGTCATTTCCTATTTATAGGAATGAATATTTGTGTGAAGAATATTTCTAGACCATAATTATGAAAACAATACAATGGCAATGGTCTTTGTGAATGCTGGTGGGGCAATTTGATGACAAAAGGTATCATAGTACTGCGGTGCCAACAAATTAGTACTGGTTAGTATCTTGGCACATTGAACAAAGTTTGGGAATAAAAAAATCATACAGAACAAAAAGAAACTGGACTGCGTGGTTAAAGTGCTTTTCTACCTTGTTAGATAATATCAATAACTTGACATTGTGGCGACTTTTTTATTAGCATTGTGTGTAAAGTGGATTGCATACACTTTTGCCTCACCATTGGAAATTTCTGTGTTTGAATCTCTCGTGTGTATCGGGTTTAGTGAAGACTTCACATTGCTTAGACGTCTGAATAATTGTATCTTTGTCTTAGCCTCTGTTTGATGGGAATTGATATGGAAAAAATGGATGTATCCAGTTTTCAAGTGATGTTTCTTGTTGTCTTTTTGGGTTCAAGATCGGGCTTGTTTCTTTCTGGCAGGGTTCTGGCTCCTGTGGACCGTGCTGATCCTCTTCAGCTGCTTCTGCGCTTACCGCCATCGCCGCGCCAAGATGAGGATCCAGCAGCAACAGAGACAGAGGGAAATCAATCTTATCGCCTATAATGGAGCATGCAACTACCCATCCTCCATGCTGGATCTGAGTATGTTTATTTAAGGACAGACAGTATGATTCATTGTTTTGATGTAGCAGTTCCACTATTTAAAGGAAAAGCTATTTGTAAGTATGCTAAACTTCCTTCAGACTGTTTGATAGTATTGAATAGTCTAGGGGTGGGCGAACTTAATGGGGCATTGATTTTTAAAATGGACGGATGGTCCAGGTCATTCATACAGGAGATGACATGAAGTTAAATTGTACACAACTGCTTTAAAAATATGCAGTCACTTGGAAATGTAAAAGGAAGAAAGATTTTTTAATATTTATTTGTAGTTTGGACTCTCATGTCTAGGTGGCAACAAAAGTGAGTCCACCCCTATGTGAAAATGTCCAGATTCAACCAAATTCGGACATTTTCCCTGTCTGGTATCATGTGACTAGTTTAGTCAGGTTTGATGATGATGTGAGGTGTGAATAGGAAGCAGGCGTGTTAAATTTGGTGTTTTCGCTCTCACACATTCATATGCGACAGAGGAAGTGCAATATTGCACCAATGCTAAATTATTTATTAAAACATAAGTCACTCATTTTTAATGTTCAATAATTAATGTAAGGCGGCCGGTAGTCCAGTGGTTAGCGCGTCGACCTCATGTGCAGAGGTACCGGGTTCAATTCCAGCTCCGGCCTCCCTGTGTGGAGTTTGCATGATCTCCCCGGGCCTGCGTGGGTTTTCTCCGGGTACTCCGGTTTCCTCCCACATTCCAAAAACATGCATGGAAGGCTGATCGGACACTCGAAATTGTCCCTCGGTGTGAGTGTGAGCGCGGATGGTTGTTCGTCTCTGTGTGCCCTGCGATTGGCTGGCAACCGGTTCAGGGCGACCTTCGCCGACTGCCCGCAGACAGCTGGGATAGACTCCAGCACCCCTCACGACCCTCGTGAGGAAAAGCAGATCCGAAAATGAATGAATGAATAATTAATGTAAAAAATGTTCACTGTATATGTAATTATTTTCATTTTATTCATTTTAAGAAATGTGTTATGTTTTACATTGATGATAGCCGCATTGCATTGTGGGATGTGTCAGCCTTTTATATGGCTAGCAGTATCCCTGGAGAAAGCAATGTGTAGTCACGCAGTGAGACATCATTTTAACATACAAGGAAGGGAAGGAGATTAATTTTGACCACAAAGCTAAAGGTGTCCGTCGGTTGAGCGTCGGGGAGCCTGAGTACGTATGCGTTCTTCTTTCAGGTTTTCTGGCCGCCTTCAAGTTACCCTCTTACGATGAGGTAGCAGCTCACCCCGCCACACCCCCTCCACCTTACAGCTCCGTCTTCGCCCTGCAGGGAGGCGCCATGCTAGAGCCGAGCTCCTCCTACCCCCATCACCACCTCCACAGTCACCCCTGCCCCCCCTACCTGGGGCCGGGCCCCAGTGGCTTCACCTCATCCCAGAGCTCTGACAACTACACCAGCTGTTCCTGCGAGTCCTGCTCCCTCACCTCGCCCTGCAGCACTTCCTTCTCCGTCCAGGTGACGGACGAGACGTATGACAGCAGCCGCATGTCCACGCCCAGCGAGGCGGGGGGTGACGGAGCCCTCTTGCTCGGGGTCGGGGGCAGCCGCTTATCGACGCCCTCGTCCTCGCCACCTTCGTCGAAGGTTCCACCCGATGTTATACCGGTGCTCGCTCCGGATGTCGTTCCCAGTCATTCCTATCATGGCAGTGAGGGGATCTCACGCCCGGTTGCCCCTCTCTCACTTCCCTTGCGCCCCCTCAATAGCTATCACCCCTCACCTCACCCTCGCCTCCCTCTTTCACCCCTTATTCTGCTCCCTTCCCTTTCCTCCGGGCATGTCCAGCATCTCGTATACTCGGACCCCCTCCGTGCCACGCTCAACGAAAATGCGGTAGACGGCTTACCACGCTCAACGCCGTGCCCTTCTCAACGGGCTGTCCTCGACAAAAATATGTCTGCTGCAATGCGCCCCGAAGATGAGGACGAGGACGAGGACGATGACGAGGAGGATCATTTCCGCCACCGGCGCCTGACGGGTGATTCTGGCATTGAGGTGTGTCGCTGCCAGGTCAAGCGCAGAGACCGAGAAGAGGAAACGGGCCTCAAGGAGAGTGAGCGGCGCGACAACGTGGACTGCTCCCTCCGAGCCAAGCAGGGGGTCCTCTCTCCCCTGCTGGATGACCAGCAGCACGGCGATGCTGTTGTCATCGTGGGGGCCTCGCTAGTCTGACGAGCAAACATGGAAGGAAAATGTGAAGCGTTTATGGTTAGCGTCATCCTCGTAGAACAAGACTAGTCGGTGAAAAGTTGTGTCACTGAAGTTCAAGTCTTGGAGGTGAGTGGATGGACAGGATGAGCTTTATCTCCTCTTGTTTTCATCTCAGAGGGAAAATGTTACCCAAGCCTTGATGATTTGTTACCTCTACCAAGTAAAAAAGAGCGCAAAGGTGAGAGGTATCATTTTAATTGATCGGTGTATTGTTTTGAAAGTTAGCAGGATAACACACACACACACACACACACACACACACACACACACACACGCATTATAATACTGGAGAAGTGTGTTGACATGAATTCCAGTATTTTCCCATTTTGAGTCATCCCTACTCCATGGTTAAAGTGGTCAAGTCCTTCCAAAAAATTCACTTCTTTAGTCATTTTGGTCACAGTAAACTTCTGCTAGCACAAGTTTAGCACCAGAACCCCAAGTTCGAGGTCAAGTTTAGGACCAGAACTCAGTACATTTGGCCCATGTTTTGCTCTTTCAGTAACCTGCTCCTCAGTTGAAGTTAGCGAAGTCCTCTCCACCCTTTTGCTGTGAGCATATGACGTCACAAAAAAAAATTGTGTGAGGATCTGTATTTTTAAAGGAAGTATTTTTATAGTTTGAGCCACTATGGCAACAGTTACTAACAAAAATAATACCACTTACCCACTAGTAACACATCACATCATCCTCCAGTAGGTAGACTGCTAGCTAGCAAAAAGTTGAATGAACAACCACAAACAATGTACTTTATGGAAGAAGAAAAAAAAAATTTTTGCCCTTGATAGCCATTCAACTTTTCTTGGCATCTTCCTCCCCATGGATGAAAAACAAAAATAACCCACCATATTCACATTCATCAATGTATTTGCATCATATCATTCAATGCTAACCTACGCTACACAATCAAGTTTGGTGGAGGGCGCACATTTACCTTATGCATTGTATATTGTCCACCACGGTCACATTACAAATCAGTGTGATCAAACTCCTTGACTGAACCAATTATAAAGTGCATGGGAAATAAGCATATGAAGCAGGAAGGAATTACAACAAATTGACTAATGTGAAGTAAGTTCCCTGAGTTATGATTTTCGAAGGAACAGCTCCTCTGTACAAGTGACTCAAAGACTAAGGTGTCCTTTCACCAGCTTCTTGTTATGTCCATGGTGTGCAAAGCTTTATATGAGTAACACTCTTATATCGTTAGAAACCATAACAGAGTGTTAAATACACTGGCTCTCAAGTGTGTGTTAAGGCTGTTACTGTTCAAAGGCAATGAGCATTTCACCTGACTCTCACACACTGATAATGAATGTAAAAAGCACAACAATGAGCTGGAGTGCTTCTTCAAGAAATCTGGACATTTTTATCGCGCGGGAAAAAAAAACAACACGCAGGGAAATGTATGCAGCAAGGCAATACAAGCGCTGATGAGACGTGTTTAGTTTTTCAGTGTTCACAAATATTTGGAGGCAGTTTAAATGTGAGGTTTAGTCACTGTTGTTTTGTACTTCAAATTCATTAGTTGTACGGTACAGTCACCATGTAGAATGCCCGCCTCAGTGGGTGGGTGACTAAGGAGCCATTGACTGAAGTACGCCCGTGGGATTGAGGGAGGTTACACTGTCCTGATGGTGTCTCCATTTTATGGAAATAGCACACACACATATACACGTACACACTGACACAATCTGTGTTTGAGCATAAAACTAATACACATTCTTGTGCCACTGTACCATGGGGGACATGGTTTATCAACAAGACACCACTTTTGATTTTATAATGGCAGATTTGATGTTTTTATGTGTGAAAGTGATGCTCTCAACTGGTAGCATAAGCTATGAGATGCTTTCACCAATTAGCATAAGCTACAGGAAAACATGAAGACGAACCTGAGTTAAGTTTGTGATTGCCTTATTTTTTTAAAGGCCATTAAGACACGTTGTGTGTCTCACTGGGATGGATCTTTTATGGCATTTATCCTTTTGGGAATTCACGCCATTTTATGCGACCTGATGTGGTATGCTTTGACGTTCACACTGAAATTTCATCGAAAATCGTTAACACTTTGGTGCCTTGAAATACAAATTTTTGCCGTTCACGCTTACGTGTTTTTCGAGATAGCAGCTGTCATTTGGCCAATTATTTATTTATTTATTTTTGCTGCGCGCTGTATGGTGGCAGTAAAGTCAACTCGACAATAAGCAGCACTATGGCAATTACTGAAAATGTCTTCAAAAAAGAGGCTTCAAGCGATTTAATGCCACCCTTAGTTGAAATTTCCTGTAAAATAAAGATAACATTACACATATATTTAAAACAACAAAACCTCATTACTTTAAGCCGGACCCCCGTTATCTAAATGTTAATAGAATGGAAAATGCCATTGACATGCTAACGGTTAGCATTGAAAGTGGTAGTTTTTACAACACTGTCAGCAACGATTATTTAATACATGTAGTGGAACAACATATGTAGACAGATAATATAAGAATAACTGTTTTACCAAATGTGGAAGTTGGTTGCGTATAACGTAACCGCCATTATCCAACAACATATTTGTGACTAGTGAAAATGCAGAGTGACTCGTAAGCCTGGGAAACCACGAGTGGCTCGTGAGCAAAAAAATGTAGGTCAAGCCTTGCTCTCAGGCATAGATTCTTTCTCTTCTACGAAAAATGACTGATATTACGGCAATTTACTAAGTAGTAGAATAACTCCTCTTTGTTTGTGTCTGTATGACTGTATTTCACAGTACTGACGCCCCGTGGACAAGGCGGCCATAACAGAATGAGCAGCAAAAATGAATTGGACATTATTTAATGCTTTACATTCTGTTTAGTTGTTTGATTACGTTTTTACATTTGTCATGAAGTACAGTAATGTTATGTATTAAATCCAGAAACACAACAATTGGAAGATATTTTGGGGGGCAGGTGTTTTGGAACGGATAACAGTGGACCCCCACCGATGACTTATTACTTGACCTGGTCCTTCGTGGTATTTCTATAAATTTCATTGAGAAAAGATGATTGGCGAGCGTGGTCATGGAATTAGTTGTATCTCAAGGCACCAGTCTAAAGTCAGCTGGGATTGACTTTGGCTCACCCGTGAGCCTAATGAGAACAAACACTACAGAGAATGTCTGTATAGGTATAAATTTGCTACAAATCTCTATATTTTCTTTTTTTGGGGGGGGGAGGGGGGGGGGTCTAGTGATGGTCTCCTTCACTTGTATCACCTTGTCCAAGTACTATTGAGCCCTGGGAAATGGAGGTACTCAGCAAAAAGTGGTTGTAATTCCAAAACAGTAAATGTCAACCCCTTGAATTGAAGCAGAAAGTTGACACTTCAAATCCATTACGGTGGTGTGCAAAGGTAAAGTCGTACAAACCTTCTCAACCAAACTGCTTCAAATGTTATCGTACATTTCCGCCATCTTTTAAATAATGTCGTTGATTAGCACGAGCTGATGTGTGATTTAAAATAGCCTGTGGTGCCTAGAAACTCTTTAGGCAGAATATATTTCCTTGCTGCTACATGAGCGTGTGAGCGCGTTTTTTTTTTTTTTTTTTTTGGTACGTTGTGTGTAGTACATGAAATGGGTTTTAGCTGTGCTTTTACGCGGTCTCGCTCTGAAAAGACTCCGCACACACGAGACTCGCGAAAGTAGTATTTAGCAATAGTGTTCACACTGTTTTTCCTGACTCTGGTAGAGGCTGGTTGATGGGAAACAAACTGTTGTGAAAAAAAAAAAAAAAAAAGACTTTTACCTCTTTCATACTGAGCCGTGAGCTGTGCTGGGCCGAGGCCCTCGATTGTACATACGCAGTATATATACTGTAAGCATTTGAATTGCCTTTGGCTTAAAGGCGTCTCCCAAGTGCAAACAAGAAAGTGGCTTTATTGAGGCTCAGTTTGTGGCCTTCATGTGTTACCAATATTCATGTCAGTCATACTATGAAATATTTTAAATGATGAGGTTCCTAAATTTTCTTCAAAAAGTCCCCTTAGATTTGTTGTTTGTTTGAATCTTTGGAAGGAAAGTATCCGAGTTTGACAACCTTGAAATTTAACACCGGTCAACAGCAGATTTTAAACTGAGGGAGTTTAATGTTTCCCCGAATTTATTTTTGACACTGATCTCAAATATATGTTTACTTTTTTCTAGCACTTCAGGATTTTGAGATATTTGCATTTTTTTATTTTTAAGTTTGACCTATAAAAGCCTGAACAATGCAGATTTTAGCAAGTGTTGTAATTTATAGCGGTGATGTTTTAGAAAATAAAATCTTGTTGCTAACCTAACCCTTAATTTATAAATATTACTAAACATACTACTATATTCCATATTATTATTATTGTTATTATTATTATTATTATTATTATGAAAATCTGAAGTGCTTCGGGAATAGAGCGAGAGCAGATTTGGAATCGGCACAAAAAAAATACCCTTGAAACATTTACTTTCATTTCTGATTTAAAAACAATTATAACAAAAGAAAAAAGTTAGCAGTGAATATTTAATGTTGTTTGAATGCATCTGTACAGCTGACAATGATGAGGGCCGAGAATTGCTTTTACATTTTTTTTAATTTTTTATTGAAAAATATTTAGCAGCCCCACGTAATCCTTGGGGTTGGAGTCTTCTTGAATAAATAAATTCTGAATCAATGACCGATGGTATGTTTTTTTTAATGTATTTATGAACCCTGTAATTAATATATATATATA